AAAAAATTTAAATAATAAAATATTTCACCTTCTGGATGAAAGCCGTTTTCATCGGCCACATATCGAACAGTATACTGTTGGCCATCTGCTCCAATGTATGAATATTGTCCTTGGACAACATAGGCTGCACTTTGATCGGCTGATCGAGCTTGAGTCAATCTACCTTGCTGTGAAGCTGAGATGCCGTTGCTGGTTTGTGATCTGCATACAAAAATTAAGGCATTAATTATTTGAAACTCAGTTCATTCATCGGATGTTATACTTACGAGTATGAATATTCGCTCATATCTGATGCAATTGCCGATTGTTGGCTCACAATATGGGCTTGACCATCTCCAATCGGAGCTGCATTGTATGGAAGAAGTCCAGCCGTGGCAACAGCAATAGCAGCAGCGAAAACAATGACAAATTGCATTTTGTTAAATGTGGCGTTTCGATTGAATCACAATTGACACTTGAAATTTTCTGATACATTATCCAGCTGATTACAATCGTTTTATACAACAAAAAAATCATAGTTTGAAACACCCACCATTTTTTGCCATCTCTTTGAATATTGTTCATCTTCAATTGCGTCCCAATTACTCGCCAATCGGCCAAGTTTCGAATAATTACGTTGCACCAGTTTGAAGGTCAGACAACATCTTCATAACTGCGAATGAGATACAGAAACGGGCAAGAGAGAGAGAAAATTATATAGTTAATTTGAAAGTGAAAACATTCTCTTTTGCTGGTGATCGCATATCAACTGGTTCAATCGATTTTTTTTACGAAAAAAAATGAGACTGAAGATAGAAGCAGGTAATAAGTTCAGCTTCTATAAATGTAGACCAACGGAATATATTTTACAAAATTATTAACCATTAAATACTGTGACGTGAATTGACAAAAATTTAACCAATTTGCATCAATTTTTTTTGTAATTGGCACAAATCAGTCGAATAAAAAAATGTAGCATGCTTATGATTTTGGGCATTGTGCAGGGTTGCACGTATGTAAATTTTAAATGAACGAAATATTGCACGGTCAATGATTGTAAAAATATTACGAAATTCTTTGCCATTGATAGCCAATTGTAAATCGATATAATTGGTACAACCTCTTTCAACGGACTCTTGATGAAATCTCTTAATTTTATTTCTCGTTATTTTTTATTTGTTTTTTTTCTTTACTCCTATTTTCACACTTCTTATTTATGCTTATTGCAATTAAGACTCTCTCATTGGATCTTATAGAGTATCTATTGCTCAGCATTGAGAATAAACAAGACAGTTGAATATACGTTTCATATTTTTAAGTAATATTGGCACCTTATTAGTTTCATATGACAGGGATAAACTCGACTTTGTGAAACGTTTCTCTACATCTCCGCGCCCCTCACTTTTATTGCCATTCACAGTAGCTTGCGTTAGAATTCATTTATGTAGATTTCCTTGTCTGAATGTTTGTCATAGTGCGACAAATTATCCAAATGTCCTAATGAGCTTGTTATAACACATGTAGATTTGTATTGATGTGAAGGTCATCGCACATCAGTAAAAAGTGAAAGAGAAAAGAAAATGAAACAAAATCACAAAAAAACAATTTTTAAGTAAAAATATTCTCCGTTGCGGTTGATCCTAAATCAAATATCTTTACAACATAAAATAAAATGAAATTTGCACAAAACCGTCAGCACCACTGGTTCATAAAAAATTATCAACGTATTGACTCATTCTGCGGTGTTATACTATAATATCAAGTGTGATCACGATGTATAAACTAAATATGTTTAATGGACGGAATCGACTTGACAATTCCCAATCTGTCTCTTGTTGCTCTCAATCTATCAACTCTTTTCGTTTATATGAATGCCGGAAATATTTTTTATCAAAACGATTTTTATGGGTTGACAATCAATATTAATAATCCGAACCCATTTATAATGTCAGCTCTTTTGATTCTCAAAATTATTATGCGGCTGCTATTTAGATTATAATTTGATGATATATTCATCATTAGGTTTGATATTGGCATCTGTTTTTTATCAAGTAAAAGACATTCCCGCAGATCATTTTTTTGTTGGTTTTCTTTTGATTCTGACAAGTAAAAGGGTAAAAATATCCATTTTAACGGGTTTTTTCTGTCGAAACTTTATATGTTCATTTAAATCGTTCGCAATTCAGTTTTCAGCTGATAAACTGATTTTTTTTTGTTGGGTAAATATTAATTGCTTGTAAAACGTTTATACATACTTATATCTGTTTGAGCATACAATTCAATGTCGTTTTACAACATACTTATTAAATCCATTTCATTTGGTAATAATCATAATAGAATATTCGATGATGCAATAAGTGATAAATTGGTTGATACCTTCGTTCGTGCATTAATATGAAGAGAGAGAAAAAAACGAAGATGCATCAAGATCAAAGATGGAAAGTGGTGGGTGAATTGAAAATTGTATGCAATTGAAATGTTCGAAATGAAACGAAAATCACGTATAAATAAGTCGTAATATATTCAGAAAATTATCAGATTTACTTTGGTTTTCTGTGAATTCATCTGAATTAGTTAACATGAAGTTCGTTATCATATTTTCCACTCTTTTGGCTGTTAGTGTTGCCGCACCACAAAAACAAGA